AGGTATGATTACGTTACCAACTTTGTATCATTTCCATTTACATTTATGTTTCAAAATATTAAAAACTGAATGATGAACATTAAAAAACATGTGTAAGTAAAAGTTTCACAAAGCGAATGTTCAAACTGAAGTTCAACATTTAAGATTTGTAAATGATTATCCCATTTTAGTAAGATATTTATATAAACTAATTAAAATCTTATTATGAAAATATTACAAGACCAGCAGCATATGTAGCGATGTCGTCACTGACAACCACACCATGAGCTGATTCATATTGCAGACAATGACTCTCCTGGAAAATAATGCAAGATGTAGTATGCCTCTCTTTTGGTCAGCTGCGTCAAGTTATATTGAATTTGATTTTGTAGTTGGCGTTCCCGATGCTGCGCTTTACATGGAAATCAACTTTTACCGGTTGGCACAAATGCGGCTGTAAACATGACAAGAGAGTGAGAAGTGAGATGCGCATATTTGTCTCCTGTTCGGCTTCCTTCTTCAGCACTATATTGGTCCTCCCAAAAGTGAGTTGCAAAGTGTGTATAACCCGCCGCACTATTCCAGTTTTTACCTTGGAGCTAAATGCGTTCTCCTATATGTATCGCGGGCCAGAAGCAACCACTATGGATGGGATGTCCGCGATCTTTGTTGTATTTACATATCTACCAGTTGTTTATCTTACAAGTAATAATAATGAAAATAATTATTATACACCTGATAACGCAACTGGTAACATAGCCATAGCGTTTCAACAGATAGCCTACATGTAAAAAAAAAAAAAAAAAAAAAAAAAAAAAAAATATATATATATATATATAATATAATATAAAAAAATATTGATGAAATAAAATCTATTTTCAAGGTCTTTGTTGCATCATGGATGAAGAGTATTATATATTAAATATATCATACAGAATGATACTGAAAAATAGCTTTAATGGTAAAAAATAAAAAATAAAATGAATAGGATTATATTCAATATATTAAAACGTACAAATAATAGTTGCATAACAATACAGGTACAGCCAACCCACATTTAAAGGTACTGTGATATTCCTATATATTATCACATTATGAAGAAATACCTTTAAAGACTTGTAAAGGCTTCTGTACTGACCCATACAATTTTAGGCCTCAGACATCTAATCAAAATTGATTTGCACGTATCAGCACGTGGGGAACAAAGGCATATCATAGTTTTTTTTTTTAATAGCGGATCCGCCGCATTTATTTTCAAATGATAATAAGAAGAAAATTCAAAATTTGTATTTTCTTCAAAATTCTCGCCGATATTATGACGTCCGCGGGAGGCTTAGCAAAAAAAAAAAAAAAAAAAAAAAAAAAAAAAAATAATAATAAAAAAAATAATAATAATTTCCAAAATAAATTCTGGTTGAAAGAATTTGTTTTCATCCAACTCCTCGAAGACTTGTAGTAAGATAGATTTGTACTTCCTCCAGGTGGGGCTGGAACTGATACATTCCTTTACTTTTGATCTTTGGAAGGTAGGAGGTACACTTGTCTTATTTTGGTGCAGGGATTTTTTCCCCTCCCGCCGACATTTCATCATTATCACCAGACTTGCTCGCTATTCAAGAAAAAGAAGAACAATTGTTGTGGCCTTACAGAAAAAAGACTGTGTATTCAACATTGCCTGTGGTTCTTTAAAGGCTAGGTGTTATCTTACAAAATCTGTGTGGCATCCTTTACCATTGGCTAAAGGATGCCACAAAGCAATGCAAAACAAACCTTTTATCCCCCCCCCCAAAAAAAAGGGGGACTGTTCTTTGTATTATTCAAAAATACTTCTTTCTTTTCATTGTCTAAATTGCATTTTGATTGGGTTTATTTGTTTTAACTGTGGGCTGTGGTGAATATGTAGCTTAGATTTTTGTCATTGCTTAAAAACTCAGCAGGCTTCCGACACTCTACGCAAGACACCCACCACCCCCACTCACTCAACCTCTCCCAGTCTTCCCCCCCATCTTCGCAATCTCGACCCCCACACACACACACACCCACACCAGCTACCAACACCCACCACTCTTCCGCTCACACACCGAAACAACCTCGAAAGCCAAGGTAGTAAGCTTTTTGCCAGGAATTCGAACACGCACAATAAGCCATATGTTTCTGGTTGCATGCACCTCCACCTTTTTAAATAGAGCCTAGTAAACCCCCTCTTCGTGTTTTAATAATCTAATACCTCCATGCTCAATGTTTTGGTAACTGAATAGGACGAAGGGCTTTTCCTCAGGCTCCCATCGACCACCTGGAGTCACACACAACTGGATTCAAAGGTCAAAAAGCCCATTCTGCCTAAATAAAAAATCAATCCTCACACAACAACCACCGTAGACAAGCATATAACACTCATACTCACACACAGCGCCTTCACTCCATGGGGTAGAGGCTTCTCGAAGACAGCTCACACCATAACAAAACCCAACCACACCATCTTTCAGATTCCTCCAGGGGATACCAGACTGTACCACATCCACCCTAGTAAATCACCACAGAAATGTTAGCGATCACCCACTGAAATGAATCGCTACCACCACCAACACTCCACGCCCACGCCACCTCTCACAGATGTGGGCCAACCGTAGACATATATCACAAAAGGCCCCGCCATTCCCCCACCGCAAACCATCACTCTGTCCACACCCTTCCCGCCCACTCGAAATGACCAGCGCAAGCTGACGTGTGCACTCCCCCCCCCGCCGCACTTCCCAGGGACTAAACCTGTTATACAGGGACCGCTTCTACGACCTACTACGCGCAGCTGCCCGCACTGCCCCTCCTACCCCACACCCCCGCCCCACCCCCGCCTCCCGCCTCCTCTCTCCCCCGACCCCCCATTCACCCCCTCCGCACCACAATAAAGAGTCTCAGATATTTTTGCAATCGACTAATATATATTTAGTCAGAACGTTAGATTTATCAGTACAGTACTTAGGCGTTGTGCAGCTTTTACTAATTTTCCTCCAGCAACACAGACGCGCAAACTGGACTAATATGACCGTAATCCGAGAAAAGTACAGCCTAGGAGAATGCACAAATAAATAAACTGATAAAATGAATAATAACTTCTCCCAAATGAAATAAACGAAAGGCACGCCATAATACACTGCTTCAGTCTTAGTAAACGGCAAAGAATTTCCTTTCTCCCACGCCCCACACGCCTTTTACTCCAATCAATATCTGAGGATAAGCCTTCCTGCTCACTATGCCAACTAGTTTCCGCGGTAAATCCATCCTAGTCAACCAGCAGAACAGGGACAAGCAATCAGAAGAGAGCGAGCAGGGAGATTTACCAGAGAGACTTCTCCGAGCGCGGGAAGGCGAGCGGACCTGCCCCCCGGGCCAGCCGGCGGAGGCCGAGCCCGTTGAAGAAAGAGGAGGACACAGCAGGAGAGGCGAGAGGAAACGGAGAAAGGCGCATTTGGGAAGAGAAGGGAGAGGCCCCACGAGAGGCCAGAGAGGAGAGGGAGAAGGGAGAGGACAAGCGTCGGAGAGGACCGAGGCAACAGCAGCGACTGCAGGGCAGACCCCGGCTTCAAGCGCAGGCCACGGACGGGCCGACGACAAAAGAGAGAGACGCACAGAACGATAAAAATATCTCTCCGACATCAAAACCAGCCATATACGATCAAAAGCCGCAGCCGATCGTGCTCATTTTCCCCCCCCCAGCTTTAGTCGAAGGCAAGATCTTCNAACCACAGTACTTTTTGGTAGAAGACTCCTCAAAGCATTGCTCATAAACCACAGTACATAGCATACCACTTTGAGTGAGTTTGATGCTGTTGATGCAGAATCATTAACCTATTGTTACATTTTACATAAATGGTGTGTAAAATTTGCTTGTAAATTATGCAATTTTATAAATCTTTGGTCTTCTGTGATATTGAAGTTGAAAGCTAGAAAAAAGTTACACCTGAATGATGTGAAATGATACCCTATCTATATTTGAGCTAAAAAAAATTAGCTTTTTTATCTATCTTCCCAACACCCACACAAGATAGATGGTTGATTGGCATGTGAATGCTAGGGTTGATGCCTGTGGGAAGGCAACTGGGTGACAGATGCTTCATGAGTCCTCCTCTGCTGTTACTGTGCCTCAGCCAGGAGTTTGTTAATAAGTTGCAGATGGAAGTCCAGTAGGGTCATTGTGCCGCCAAGCTTTATTATTGCTAATTATTGCCATGTCAAGGAGGTTTGTTTGATTTCCATGGTGATTGGATGCTAACTCAAATATCATGGTGATGGATTGTTGAAAGCATGTTGTCTTGCTCCTTGTTCATCCAAGACAAAACCAGCAATGTTGGAATGGTCAGTGTCTATGTAGCAAAAAACCTTCATATCCTTTGGTCATCAGGTCAACAACAACCTTTGTTGGTGCTATGTCACTACAGTCCTGCCCCCTGTAGACCTTGAATGAGCTAGTGTATCCTGGTCAGGCTTTTCCAGAACATCTAGGGGTAGCTGGGGGATGACAGACCTCCCTTTCTTCCCATTAACCAAATGCGGTCTTGAAGAGTGAGAGTCTAGTTATGGACGTCTCATGCCTGCACCTCCTGGCATGAACTAAAACTTTTGTCATCAACATATGCCTATATGATATCTGTCAGTATATTTATTGTATGAAAGTCCTTCCCCCTGTGTGCTAACCTGCTGCATTATGTCAAGATTAACACTGATGTGCCATGAACCCCTAATTAGAAACATATCTTGCTTACTATGCTTTCATGTAATGTTTGTATTTTGGACACCTCTAGGGATGTTGTGAGGGAGGCACCCAGTGCAAACCTGTCGGTCAATCATGATTATTAACCCATTCACAATGGCTGATGTCCTATCATGTCATGGTTAGAATATAACTTATGCTGCGATGAATATCCATTATACAATTTTCTGATACAGATAGGGTGCCATTTCTCACTTTCTGAATGTCTCCTGATAGTGTGTCTGACAGGTTATGTATCCCCTCCAACAGAGACGTGTCGAACATGAAGGAAAGCTCTGTAAGGAAAGAAGATTCAGAATGACAGACATAGAGGAAGACACATTGACAGCAACTATGTTAACTGCTGAAGATGAGGATACACAGAAAACTCAGGTGTATTTGCAGTACGATTTCTCCAAAAGAAATGATCAGTCAGCCCTTCCAGTTTTCAATGCACAAAAAGAGGTAAGCAGCATTATATAGCTCTTCTTTTTTCTTTACTTTGTGCTTAAAAATTATCCAGATGAGTGCCTTATAAAACATGCAAATTGCATATGTAGTGAAATGATAATACATGATCTTCAAATTTTGTTTCAAATACAGGTATATGATTCATGTGCCATAATTTATTTTATTTATTTATTTTTATTATTATTATTTTTATTTTTTATTTTATTTTTTTTATCTGTGTAACAGGTTCTGGCAAAGATTGAAGAACATCAAGTTGTGATAATAGGTGGAGAAACAGGTAGTGGCAAGTCAACCCAAGTTCCTCAGTTTATCTTAGATGATGCTGTTGAAAAACATCGACACTGTAACATAATAGTCACACAGCCTAGAAAAATCGCTGCAACATCTCTGGCTCGTCGGGTTTGTCGAGAAAGAGGGTGGCAGCTGGGCAAGATTGTTGGCTACCAGGTACCTACATATTTACTTAACACATTTATTGATTATGTCACACTTTCTTAAATGAAAACTAGAGAATTACAGACTTAGCTGAGGGCTGTTATGTGATTTATATTGTATAGAAAATTACAGAATTTAACCCTTTGTCAATTGGATCATATACACTGTCCCCTGTATTTCTTTGTGAATTTTATTGTACACAGATGGCTTCTCAAGGCCTCATCTACCAAGAAGTCAACTTGTAGGCTAATATTGACCTCACATAATGTCCCCATTCCTTAAAAATTTTAGATTTTTTATTTTGTAATGATATACGATTTTTATACTGTTATTATCATCATTGACATTATGATGATTATAATGTTATTAAATACTATCAGCAATAAAGAATAAAATAGTTCTTTTCATTAATCAAAGAAAAGGGTAAACAGAAAAGGAGTAAGTGACTCCTTGATGACTTAGCAGTTGTGAAGCACCTCTAGATATAGACACAAAAAAGGCCACCTTCAAAATATTCACAGCTGGAGCTTTTCATGCTCATGAGCAAGTCATGTCACAGACCTTTGCCCCGGGCTACATGTCCAACAAAAAATGATTTTGTGATTATTATCATCATGTGGCCAAATTATATTTCCAACATTATTTATAACCCATTCATTTGTACCTCTGTAGGTCCAACTAACATTTTGATATTGATTGTAATTCCAGAGCTTGAGTACTTAAAATCTTTATTTGTCTTTTTGCTTTGTTACTTATCCATCTGTAGGAAACACAAAACATTTTAGAATTCAAATGTTATGCAATTTTTGCTCTGTCATTTCTTCTGTTTTCTTTGTCTCATTATAAGTAATTGTTATATGGCTCCTAGATAGCAAAGTTCTTTAACAGTTTGTAATTCTCCATATAATGTATAGGCTGATAGAAGTTGTTCATGATTTTAGATATTTTGAAGGAGTTCCTTTGCAGGTTGGTTTGGACAATTGCACAGATGCAGATACCAGGCTTTCCTATGTTACCACAGAAGTTTTGGTACAAAAGTTGATACATAGGGGAAATCTTGATGCGTTTACTCATATTGTATTAGATGAAGTGCATGAAAGGGATCAGCATACTGACTTTGCATTACTGATTGTGAAAAAGTTGCTATATACTGTCTCCAGAAATGTGAAGGTAAGTTCAAAAAAGAAAATGTTTCCTGAGTCTTTATATTTGAAAAATCTCTTGTATTTTCTCATGTACTTTTAGTACTCATCACTAAAATATTTTTTTATTCCTCAACAGGTGATTCTGATGTCAGCAACCATTGACACATCCAAATTTGCCAATTATTTTTCAACCCCTGTAATGGGAAACCTTGTCCCAGCACCAGTTGTGTCTGTGGGGGACAATACTTTGTTCAAAATTCAATTTTACTATTTAGAATCGCTTAGTGTCATTTGCAGAAATCGACCTGTAAGTTTACTCTTTTGTTCTGTTGACTGCTCTTAGATTGCAATATATTGTATGGTTGAATGAAATTCTAGTTTGAATTTCAATTATTTTTTAATCTTTGTAATTAACATTTTATTCGCCATGAAAAATTGCAAGAAAGTCATTTTTTATTACCAAAAAGTAGCTCGAGGTCCTTTAAGGCAACACAATAACTAGAGATTGTAATACATGCATTTATTTAAGAACGAGAAATATAGGTTGAGGGAAATGAAGATCATTGAATTATATTTTAGAAAAGAGCTGAACAAAATTATAATGTTTTATTAATAAAGATACACGTGTGAAACATATAACATCAATTAAAGATAGTTAAATGATTTTATGATAATCTAATCACCTATTTCAAGGAATTGTAAGTGATTTTTCATTCAGTCAGTGCTACCAGAATTACCATCAATACTACCAGAAGATCCAGGCATTTCTGAAAATATGTTCAAATTGGCTTGTGAAATAGTAAAGTGCTTTGACCATGTTGAAAGGCAAGAAGAGGGAATCCGGTCTGCTGCCTCCTTTGTAAAGAGAAGGTGAGGTTGGAGTGACAACTTCCCTTAATTAATGAAATGGAAATAGGATAGCTATCAGAATGTCTAATATTGATAAATGTAAGTACATTTTCCATAATCTGACTTATTTCCTGTCCAGGGGAGCTGTTTTGATCTTCTTACCTGGCTTAGCAGAGATCGAGAAGTTAATCAACTTGCTCAGTGATGACTCTACTGCTAACCAGTAAGCACCCTATAATGGATATAGAGGGAATAGAGCTGTTGGTGTGGAAATTTGCTGAGGCTGATGTTGGCTGGCTGATGGGAAAGCAATCTAAAAAGTGAATGGAAAATATAAATCCCAAAGCTAGGGGGACTAAACTGATTACATTTGATTATAATAAAGTTTTACCATATTATTGGGCAAGTGATCTTTGATTCGGACTTTCCATTAAGTTTGTAACTGTCTGTTGAGATTGATTCTGTTTATTGATGCTGTACAGGTGGATGCTGTATCCTCTCCATTCTTCTATCACACAAGAGGAGCAACAGAGGGTTTTCTCGGTGCCTCCTATAGGATTCAGGAAAGTTATTGTGTCAACCAACATTGCGGAAAGTTCCATTACTGTACCTGATATAAAGTATGGTAATGAAAAGGCCTATTATTTTTGTTTTTTTGTTAGAAAGAGTGTAATTTTTGTAAGTTGTTCTCTTGTGTTAACTGATTTTTTCCAAGCAGGGGCCATCTGCTCACTCATATTTTGAATATTTTGTGGCCTTTTTTTTCAGTGATTGACTTCTGTTTAACCAAACAACTAACTTGTGACCAAGTGACGAATTACACATCTCTCAAAATGGCTTGGGCTTCACAAGCATCCTGTAAGCAGCGGGCTGGCAGAGCAGGGAGGGTGTCCACTGGAAGAGTCTATCGTCTTGTACCAGCAGAATATTTTTCAGTCAGTATATATATTTTTTATTACTATTATGAATGAATTAGTCCTTAGGCTTTATTAGCGATCATTTATTTCCAAAAGTTTACCGCTGTTTCACATTGAGAGAGACATTCAAATAATGGGTCACATCTGAAAAGAGAGAAAATGTAGACAAAGTTGATGTAATTTAAGCTGTATCCTGTACATAGTGTATAGTATAGTGATATCCTATGCATAGTCTAGTCAGTATATGTCTCTGAGAAAGTTCATTATAGAATTTATAGGGGGTGTCCATATCTGATGTTCCAGCAATAATTTCAAAATGCCAGATGGTGCAATGTCCATTTTTCTTCAGCCTTTTAATGGTCCATCCCTAACTCGCATTATCTCAGAGACTGCTAATAACATGCTTTGTCATTCAATAAAGAGATAATGATACTGCCTAGTGTAGTTCTTCATGGGAAAGTGCTAATTTGGCAAACTGATCAACCGTGCCCCAGACTAGTATTGCTTTATGAGAGGGTATTCAGTATAGTGACACTTATATGCACTGCTATGATAGTCTAGAAATATGGTGAATTATTATCAGTTTTTCTAGATGCAGTCCTATGGAGAACATCCTGGTTGCCAGAAAGACAGCTAAGTGTCACTGCTGGTCACTACCTTTTTTAATGTTATGGTATATTGCTACTGACTCAGCATTGGTTGTGCTTTCTCAGTTGGAAATTCACACACTTTAAGGTCAGTGTCAGAATTAGAAGGAGGGAGGAAGAGATATGCTGGATGGTGAGGAGCACGTTATGTAGTAGTCAGATGGTAGGTAGTAGGATGGCAGCAGTCTAGAACGATGGGTAAGGGTTGTCTTTTTTGATAAGGACAGTAACTCAAGTGATGGAAAGGCGGTGGTAGAGATTAGGAGGAGCTATGGTCAAGGGGATGTAGATGGTTGAAGTGATTCAGAGGTACTGTGAATTTTGTGATTGTAAATTTCCTTTGCCTTGTAAAAGAAAGAAAAGAAAAAATAGACAAGATATGGTTCATTTTACCATTAGTTAGTGATTGTCAATTTTTATATATGTTATATACATGAAATATATACAACATACTGATGTCCAGTTGGTTTACTTCTTTTCTACATGCCTTTAATATTTTTATGTTGATTATATCATTTTATTCTTTATATTGATTATAGTATTATGTGATTACTTCCAGACGCTGCCTACATATGCTACACCAGAGCTATGCCGAACTCCACTCTGTCAAACAGTCCTCAAGACCAAAATTCTGAACATGGGGGAGCCACATGCTCTCTTGTCCCTTGCTCTAGACCCACCAAATTTATCAGATATACATAGAACGATTCTTACTCTCAAACAGGCAAGATTAACAGATATCTGTTATTTTTGATATTGTGATGATATACTGGAAAGATGTAATTATAGGATGATGTTACATTTCAAATTACGTGTATGTTGATATTAGTGTGGTCCTGTAATACATCAGTATGAAGAATGAGTATTTTTTATAACTGATGCAACAGTCACCGGTGAATCTTGTAGAAAAAAAGGAGGTTATTTTAGTGTATATTCTTAACTTTCTGTCACTAAGACCAGATGCATTTAAATATGCTCATCCTGATAACATAAAAACAGCATAAATTGTTACTGTTCTTATTTCAATTGGAATCGTGCAAGTCTTCTTTCAAGTCATGCATTCAGTTTTACAATATTGCAGATGGGTGCACTTGCTGTGAAGTCTAAAGGTGTCGTATCCGGTTTGGACGGAGACTTAACTTACTTGGGAAGGGTTGCTGCACACCTTCCTGTTGACCCACACCTTGCTAAATTCATAGTCATGGGATATTTGTTTGGTGTTCTAAGGGAGAGCATTATTATTGGTAAGATGATCCAGCTACGGACAAATTAGCTCTTCTTAATCGTTTTAGCTCACTCACAGCAAAATAAGAGAGTATTAAGATGATGATGATGATGATGATAATATTGATAATGGTAATAGTAATAATGATGATAATAATAATGCTAATGATAATAATGATAATAATTATGATAATAACAACTCTAAAAGTGCCCAAGTGGTAGCACTGAATTGAATAGGTTTTTAAAAGCTTATTCTTCAGGAGCAGTTTGCAGTAACATTCTTAGAGTTGTGGACAGTTTTCTTCTGAATATCATATTGATGTAAGGAAATTTAACAGAAGAAATATAGGCAAAGAAAGCTGACCATACATATATTATGCTGTTGTTTAGAGGTAATGTATTCTTAGCTTTGTAGAGACATTATTTACATCGTCTCCTTTTCAGCTGCTGGGCTATCCTTGAAAAGCTTCCATGCTCGGCCCTTCCAAGACGAGCTGAACGCCTTTCTGTCCAAGGTTTCCTGGGCATATGGATCCTTCTCTGACTGCTTAGCCGTATTGAACACATACAATGTAAGAATTTGAGATTTTGTCAAGACTATAGGACTTGCAGTAGCAGACGACTCGTAGGGAAAATATCGACTACAATATTCAATTCTGATTCAGAGACGAATGGAAAATAATTTTATTTATATATTTAAAACCTTTCACCCAATAGCTTTGGCAAAGCATGCAAATCAGAGGAGAGTTCCTGAGGCCTGGAGGGAGACAGGAACGAGAATGGGCTAAACACAGTTACGTACAGCTTGAGGCCCTAAAGGAAGTGGATAAGCTGGTGAAGGAATTAACTCAGCGTTTAGAGAGCCAAAAAATCACTGTACGGAATCGACAGAATCCTCCAAGGAGCCATCAGGCCTTCATTCTCAAGGTAGGGTATGTTGGTTTGCATGATAAAGAAATTTCTCTTTTCTTTTCTCTTCTCTTCTTTTCTTTTCTTTCTCTTCTCTTCTCTTCTCACTTTTCCTCTTCTCTCTTCTCTTTCAAATGTGTTCAAGTGTGACAACTGTACATTTTCTTTTTTTTATATCAGAGGTAATTTTTTTTCTACTTTTTCTTTTTGCAAAATTAAGGCAAGTTCAAGGTTTATAAGTATGCATTGCTGATAAATAAAGCTACCTTTGCAGATGTGTATGGCAAGTGCCTTTTTCCCTTATTACTACAAGCGGAACATCTCTGAGAATTATGAGAAGGAAATGTGCCGTGAACTCAATGGGCACGACCCCTTCTCCACTGTGATTGTGAGTGGGCTTCCCGCAAGGTCAAATGTTCTTTATGACAGTCAGTTGAAAGAATTGTTCAAAGAATGCTCACAAAATCTTGAAATTCAGTATGAAGGTTGCAAGTAAGTATATGGTTGAAAGTAAATAATGAACTTTTGATATAGATGAGGAAAAATCAATATACATTTTTTTTTCCCCTTAGGTTGATGTATACTTCAGCTGCATTAATTCCTTGCCAGATATATAGTATCTATCCTTTATTTTGGTGTCATTCTAAAGGGGTTAATGATATTTTATTATTCATTCTTTAGAGCCTATATTCAGTTTCCTCGAATGAGTCTTTCATCAACCAAAAAGGAGCACTTCCAAGACGTCCCAGGGGAGTGTCCCACCTCCATGCACCTAGCCCTGAAAATGCGCCAAGTACCGCGAATTCAAAAGAACCTTGTGCTGAATCTGTATAGGTAAGAAGCTGATATATTATTTCATGAGATACTGACGAGAAACCAGTTATAGAAACATCCACATCTGTAGTCTCTCTGGATAATCATTTGAGTGGAGTTAATCAATGTGAATGATATTACATTTCATGTTTTTAGCCAAGGAGAGACTCAAAAGAAAATGTCAGAAGTGTTTGGAAGCACCACAAGCATGTCAGGGATAAGTTTGTTCAAGGGATCCACACAGAGTCTTCTTGGGAATGCAAGACTTAGAATGGCTGACTCTCATATGCATATGTTGAGGCCCCCCACCATGCCTAAGCCTTCAGATCGAACTTGGAGAGTCCATGTCACACATGTATGTCAATGTTTTTATGTTTTTTCTCTATATGTCAACATACATTAATATGTAATGTATTTATATCTTTGCAAAGATATCTGTATACCTTTTATAAATCTATGTCAGTATGAGTATGTATGTGTCTCACACACACACAGTATGGACGGAAATAGATTTATAGATTTTTTCATCTAATAACACCACTCATTATTATCACCATAATAATCATCGTTATTACTAGATGTTAATATATTTTTTTGTGTATTATTATTTTTGTTTCTTTTATTATTTGTTTGATTTTATAGTTTTTCAAAATTGTATTACAGGTAGTCACTGCTGGCCATTTTTGGATAGTGTCTGAGGAGACGAGTGCACTAAAGAATCTCAACCACATTCATTCAGCCATTCAGAGAGCTGTAGAGCAAAACCAAGCAGTCTTTATCCCTGAAAGTGAAGTCAAACCGGGGATCGTGTGCCTCGCCAAGTTCACCGACTCTGATGGAATGTCCTGCTATTACAGAGCACGTGTGGATGAAGTGTATACCGGGGAAGACAACGGAGTTAGAGCTCAGGTATTTTGCCTTTGTGCTGCGTCAGTTTCCTTTCCTTTTCCTTTGCTAATGTACATGTACGTAGGACTAAATTTCAGGTAAGCTGTTTCATTGATGACAAAAATTCATATACTATCCTAGTTTAAGAGACTGGCCAGGACTTTAATTTTCCTATTACATCAGCTGCATCTACGCTGAACAAAGTTATTACTATCAAGCCATTTAGGATATGTACCACAGTGGGTGTGATCTAGGGAACAGTCCAGTATCATAAGTTCCAGAGGTTTAGAGCTAGACTTTTCATTTTCACACCTGCAAATCTTTGATGCTGAACAAAAGAAAAAAAAAGGAGAAAAGAAAAGGGAGATTTTGTGAAGATTGTTCATGTGATGATTTATTAATAGTTGAAAAATGTATAAGTATACATTGCAGTAAAATGTTCAGAGAGTAAGGTGCAGCATTTTCATAATTCTGTTCTGATTTGATTTTTTGAACAGGATTATATGTGCAGAGTGTCCTCTCATTTTACACTTTTTTCAATATATATTTCTGTTTTTGATGTATTATTAAAAAGAGATGATATTTAAAAAATAATAATAATGACACTTCTTTTTACATGGAATGTGTAATGAATTATAAAAACATGGCAGATAGATTCTTATCAATGGCCGGTAAAATTAAACTTCATTGTTCACTGAAAGTTTCAATCATGCATTAGTTTATCCATCCTATTTTGTTGCAATTTTTCCATCCAAAGTATGTTTATTTAACCAGTTATTGTATACAGTAGTAATCAATTCAGGCTTAAATCTGTTCTGTATTTTGCATTACTTTTGAAGAGATATTGGTAAGCAAAATATTTTTTGGTCATAGAATTCTTATTTTATAATTTTCAATTATTCAATCATTGCTATATGATCAAAATTAAATTAAATTGATGAAGGCAGATATATGGTATACATTATCTATTTATATGTTAGCAAAGACAGTGGATTCATAAGATTTGTGTAAACTTGCATCTCAAGCATGTATTTGCACTTTTTCCTTCTCGTTTTAGTCAAATCCAATGATAAATTAAAATATAATGAGTGATAGATATAGAGTCCATATTGAACAACTGGTTTTAGAATTTTATTGTACGAGTTCAAGTGTAGTAAGGCTCGCTTGTATTCCAGGTATTTTTTGTTGACTTTGGGAACACTGATGTTGTAAAGGCTGTGGAACTCAGAAGAGTGCCAGGGAGGTAAGAGAGTGGCACTTATTCATTGTAATTTATCGTGTTTTAAAAAAATTAAGTGTAATTCTGAAATATTAGATGTATTTTCAACTCAGATGCTAAAAATATTCAAATATGCATAAGGTAATATGCACTTTTAAATTGTTCATATTAGGTATTAGAAATAAGTATATCTGAAATATTGAAGTACACAGGTAAGCTAATAGTAGAGTTATGATCAGTTGTATTATACTTTGCCACTGATCATTACTCAGAATGATAGTGGGTAAAGTTATATCTAGAAAGTCTTGATAATATTACACAATTATGTTCAAAACTTTTTCATACTACTGTCCATCTGATTCTTGTTTTACAGCTTGATGTTGGCAGAGATGCTAGCAGTTGAATGCAAATTGGCTCAGGTTAAACCAGCATCTGATAACAAATGGCTAGATGAAGCTACGGAATGGTTTAGAAGCCACACATTGAATAAGGATTTCATTGCCCAGGTTAGAAAAAATCTATTTTCTATAATTTTTTGATTGGTCAGTTTTCTCAGACTTATAGAAGGTATTCCTACTTTCCATTAACCCATTGCTGCTAAGAATGTGTAATGTCTACTGTGGTTTTGTTTTGTGAAATGTGTTTACAAGTATTCACTGCCAGTGGGTTGGGTGTGGACTGACAAATGGACAAACAATAATACTATACAATGCCTTACAGATCTACAGTGTTGTGCATAAAATCATGAGAGTAAAATTAATGGAAGTGGAAAGTGGAGATTTCCTGTCCGTCAACCGAAGACTTATTGATCTTCAATATGCTGTTAACGCTGAGGAATATTATCTTTCAAAGGTCTGTGTTTGCATGCTTCCTCTCCCACATAAAGGGAAACTTATTTTTTTGTGCTTGGTTCCTTGAGTAAAGTAGTGTAAGAAAGGATAGCTGCTACTGGGTACGTGTTTTAAAATGAAGACAAGTTAAATACTTATAATAATGTTCAAATTGAAATATTTGGAGTACTACATTCAGGGAATTAATTAAGTTTTCTAATTTGTAGTCTTAATTAATTACAATGACATTTTATGTTACCTTTCATTATCATTATCTATGTATTGTATTGATAATTTTCTTTTATCTGATTTCAGCAAAATCATGAGTTGAGAGCCCTCTGTAACAAGGAAGCTGAAAGCACAGCCCTAGATAACATAGGACATCTTTCCCAGGCCCTTTCTGTTTCATCTCTGGATCTAAAATTTGGTCCAGCATCCTATGCAGGGAAGGTTAGCTAGAACTGGGAAGAAACAAGGCATTAAGATTTGCATTATTGTATGACAGACAGAGAAAGGAAGAGTTTGGGAGTGAGAGATTGAGTAGGGGAGAAATATAAATGAGAAAACTAGTGTTATGGTGTTTCATGATTTTAGTCTCTGTATTTGTAAATGAAAGTCATCCTTACGTAAAATAATTCTGTCACCTTTATTGTTTTGTTGGATCGTGGTACCTCTCTGGCTGTACTTGACCCAAAATCAGTTCTTTAGGCTGTTTGAAATTATTTTGTAAATGGAAATGGTCATATTATAAATACTGACTGTACTATGTTATTATCACAGGCAAAGTTGCAAGGTCCAGAATCTCCACTAATACTGCGCTTTGTGGCATTGTCTCTCACTGCTACTCCTTGCTTGTCATTCAATGCACTGGATGCACAAAGGGAGTGAAAATTGAACCTTCATCAGTCAACTCGACTGCATTAGACCTTGAACCAAAATGATAGGTTTTATGTCAGTTTCTGTTATGAAAAAATGACTTTGTTCCCACTTCTTTTTTTAACAGTTTGGTTTGACTTTTTTTTTTTTTTTTTTTTTAGATATCTAGTTCATACTTTTGTTCTTCGTGAACAGTTTTCCGCTTATAGATGATTATTTTATAAGTGATGGCACGAAGTTGAGCCTTCTGTAAACTGCTCTCTGTTTTTGCCCTAGGAGCTCAGTTTAGCATATAAAACTTCATCTTTTTTGTTTTTCTTGTATTTAATAGATTGTCTTTATTTGTTTAATGATCTTGCAGGTAAATGAAGTGTAAACAGATAGGTACAAGATACAAAAAGCAATGGATTTATTTCTTACTCATAAGATAATAGTTCCAATAATGGTCTTTTTGTGTAAATGTCTCTAAAAAGGCATAGCTACACGGATCTTGTTCAGGCATCTGTTCCGGGAAGTGACTTTATTTATCTTTGAACACAGAGTGAACAAAGAAGGGACGCAGTACACAGGCGCCCTAATAGGACTTGGTCATGATCACGACGGAAATGCAGTATACCCTGCTGATGATATTGAAGCCTCGTTTGATATTCACTTGACACAAGAGAAAAGAAATCATTTAATCCATTTTTTTTATAAATTTACCAGAAATTGTTTTGACCGAATTACTATAGCTGATCATTTTCCTTGCAGATAAATAGAGTACGATTCCTTATGAATGTAGTACTAGAGGAAGGAGAAGATGTTGCAGATAAAGTTCTTATCAAAACCCAGAACAGAATGAGAGAATTGCTTCTTCAGTAAGTAAATTTATAATACATATTTCATTCAAGCCCTTTATAATTGTTCCTCTTCTAAATTAACTGCAACACATAAATTTCATAGTGTTGATGGCTTCTATATTAACGTGGTAAAGAAAATTGGTAATTTCAATATTTTCCTCTAGGTTGGTAGATGTCAACAGAGACTATCGGGAACCAGAGAGCTACCACTATCCATACCAGTGGCAGATGGTAAGTCGCAGAAAGTCATTGTCACATCTGTTACATTATTATTCTTTCTATATCTGCTTTTCTGCCAATTTTTCCATCTCTGCCCCATCTCCATTTCATGGTCTTAAATTCCATATACTACTGACAGGTACCTAAGGAGGAGATCCTGCACCCTCAAATAGACTTAGCTCTGGACGAGAGCATGGGTGCCGTCTTTCCCCTTCACTGCGGCATTTTCTTGCAGCCAGGCGGAAATCACAACGAGACCTCGTAAATCTCCCCTTGGAGGAGGCGGGAGAATGATTTTTATATGAAGGGTTGAGATTTTTCACTAATTTTTACTGTAATAAGTTCTAAAAAGGCATTTACGTGATTTGTTAATATGATGTTAATTAGCCCTTTCTGTTTTAGTCCCAAGAATCTATTAAATAATTTACTCTTGCAACAACTGAAATTTTATGAAAAGCAAGACAGTGATATAGTGACTATGCATTTACGTTGATAAAGAAAGTGACTGGAGTGGAAAAATCTTGATCAGACTAAGAGGAAATTGAACAACTGGAATCGTAGATCATGAAATAAAATGCCAACTCATCTAAGCTAGTATGATTGGAATGAGGAAAGTAATATAATGTTTTAAAGATGATACGTTAGAAAAAAGGTAACCCAGTAATTGAAATACTTTAATTATGTGAATAATTGAATACCTTGTCTCATTTAACCCTAAAGGTTTAAATGCTCAGTTATTAAGAGTATAATTTCAGAAGATATATAATTTTCTTTGGTACATACAAAATGCCAATATCAGAAGTGTAAGTGAAAAGGTGAATACAATATTTTTGCAAATTGTATACATTTTAGATTGTAAAACCTAGGTGATAACCAGGATTGAATTTACCTTCCCAATTGAAATTTTCAATCAAAACAGAATTTTGTTCAGTTTTTATTGTTTGACTTCTCTGCTACACATCACTTGATTTGTTTGAACTTTTGCCATTAAACAAATACAAAATAGAAACAGGTTTGAAATCAAAGGTTCTCAAAAAACTGTTCATGTTTTATTTTCTAATAGGGCATATCTATGTTCAATTGAACAAAGTTTTCTAATTTTTTTATTTTGGTTTTTAAATAATTATTAGTGTTATTGAAAGCTAGTGCTCCAAAGCCTCTGCTTCAGGGAAGATTTTGTGCTCTGTTCTCCTGTTCAGAAATAAATTTTTCCATAAATACAATTGTATAATTCCATTTCCAAATTCCCTTTCAAGAATGTATGTCATACATATTGAAAATTACAGCCAAGTTATGATATTCATTTATTATTAAATCACACCAAAACATATAGTCTACCTACAAACTTAGTCCATCATTTATATAAATATATCAACAAACATATAAATAGAAAGTAAGATGGCAAATTCCTATGAAGAAAACAATTCCTTAGAGTTGACCCTTACTTTTGGCTTCCGTGGCATCTTCACAGGTCTTAGGTAAGGGTTATCCAACTCTGTCTCCGGGGATTCATTACTTCTGTCTTTTTCCTGTAATTATAAGAGATTAAGTGATTAAAAAATCAAGCTATATATAAGAACCTTGTTAACCCAAGTTCTAGTCAGGTGATAGCAATTACCCTGATTGAGATACCCAACTCTATATGAAAAACTTAACAGTGCATTGTTAATCATGTTTGTTCTCATGATTTTTATACTTTTGTGTAACTTTCTCCATATTTTGTGATATGTGAAATTTACAATGGAGAGTAATTTATTATCTTACTGAAAATATTGATTCCTCTGGCGGTCAGGCAAAGACAAGAGCACATTAAAACCATTTTTTTGTCTCACTTGTAATGCATTGGATACCTCATAATTTTTTTTTCCTCCGCTAACCATATGGCTTGCCAAGGCACAAACAAGTAGCATTCAAGGTAATGCTGCTTTTGCGAACTTTATGATGGTAAAAGGTTTAGAATTTGTTAAAGCATGTAATGAGATCTGACTTACAATATAATGGAGTGGATATTATCAGTGAATACCATGTAATGTTATCACAATCTTGCAATTCCATAAACTACATGCTGGTTCCAGTGATGTAATGACAAACAAACTCACTCTCTCTCAATCACTCACTCACTGACACTCTCATAAATCAATCTCACTTTTTTTTTTTTTTCCAGAAAATTAATAAAGACATTCATTCCACTTCTGCAATTTGAGAAGCACCAGTGGAGAGATACAGAGCCCAGGAATATTTTTCCTCTACTAGGGCTGTACCCTCCTCATCCAATGGTTTATTGTCTACTGCAATAGGCTGTTACACTGTGATTAAACTATTATTATATTGTTATTATTATATTATATTATATTATTATTATTTATTATTATTATTATAATATATCTTTATTATTATCATAATACTATTATTATTATTATTATACTATATATATATTATATACTATTATTATTATTATTATTATTATTATTATTATTATTATTATTAATAATCAAAAACAACAATATGATGAAAATTATAATAATAATGATAATTATAATATTGATACTAATACTTCAAGAGTAATATCTTGTTGGATTTGTGGTCACCTTTGTAAAAAAAACAAACAAACAAACAAACAAACAAACTGAACACTACAATGAATTGAATAGCTTTTTATACCAATGACCGTATTCGTATCCTGACCAGTGCTCACCACAGCACACACGATTTTTAGCTAGGGTAGATGCACCATTATCAACTCAACATGTTTGTTTATATTGTGGGAGCACTTTAGTAAACATAAATTAGCATGAGACAATGTGCATTCTGATCCACTGGTCAGGGATGGCTTGATTTCGTGGCAAAGAAAATATTGAGCATAAAAACAGACAGCAGACTAGCCAGACTTTTTCATACAAGCAGTCAATGCTTGATAAATCAAAACCAGCTGTTTAGGAATACGACAAGTTTGAGGAAAGTCCTGGCCTCACCTGATTACTTTCTCCATCATCCTGACTTGTCTTTCGCTTCTTTGTCCATGTTCTGTCTTCCTCCTCTTCGAATACTTGGTCTCGTGGCATCAGGGCATCCAGGTAACACTTTGGGTTTGGATCAACACCAACAACTGAAATAAATGAAAATAAGTAAAGAAATACGGAACTCACTTGCTCTTTCACCTACGCACTCACTCAGTCCCCTCGTCAACGCACTCACAAAATGTAAATACAGTACTTAAACCAATTTTCAATCCTTTGACAAGCAATTTGTTTATCACACCTACATACTGTATGATTAAGGCAGAATAAATCATAACCTATTTCTGACTCTGTTTAGAAAATATGCCCCATCCTTACGCATAAATTCCTTGTCCTCGGGGAAGAACAAGCTCTGCGTTTCTCTGGTCTTGGCTGCAAACTTGGTCAATGCTCTCTCTATGTCCCTTTTCTGTGTTGCAGCTTTTTCTCTGATTGCCTCATACTCAGTAACTGGCTGCTTGTAAGTATGTGAAAAGCTAAAAAAGAAGGAAAGAAAAAAGTTCTAATTAACAGAGGAAGTCACTAAGGGAGGTATGACTTGCTTCCCTCACAATATTCATAATACTCTCTTCCCTATAAAGGCTCAACTGAGAAAAAATATGTATACTATTCAAAGTCTAAACAACAAGATTTAAATTAACTTCATCAATATCTACTACCAAAATCTATCCCAAATATATTTTTAATATTTCATGGACAATAAATTTAGTTAAGGGTGAGTCAACAGTCACATAAAAAAGACCATAAAAAATAAGTATTTGAGATATATTTCTTATTCAATAGTAACAGAAACTTACCAATATGTATGTGTATCTGGGAATGGTGGCAAGTGATCAGGAATATGGGATGGGTGAGACTTCTTGTCTCCAACTTGTAATACATTATGTTGTTTGAGGTCCACCTGATGAGCTGGAGGCGTGATAACAACTCTGTTTGGCCTCATCTTGTAGGCCTTGAAAAACAAGAAAAAGTGTACTTGTATTTAATTGTTAAATACCTTCTTGACTTGTACTTCAT